CATATATAAATACCAAATAGTTTCCCTAGTGTAAGAAATGATAAGAATACATAAAAGTATGTGGTAATCATGATTCCCAATCATATTGGTTTGAATCCATATAATGTTATCACAATGGTTTTAACCTGGGTTGTTCGATTTTAGTATCAGTGATAGTACAAATAGCTATTCTGAAGAAAACAACACGTCATAAAAGCTAGTGCTGATTTAATATCATCTTGTTTTGAAGTCCCATCAAGCTGTTGTACACCTGTTTCCACTGGTTTTAACATGTGGTATCTTACTATATTTTACTATATGTGATAGTATAAACAAAATTTTTTATAAGCAAAGAGATAATATAGAAACCATTGTTCGTGTTCTGTTAACTAGTTCTAAATACCCTGTAATTTCTTCATTTGCTTGAATAGCTTCAGACTGACTTGATATGCTTGATGCTATAGTATATGAAGTTATACTCAAATAATTCAAAGAAGGAGGCACTATGGTGACTACTATTATGTTAGATTATCTGGGGGTGAAACACAATGATGCTTAAATAGTTCGGTTCTGACCTGTGTTGTTCTAATACAATGTCCTCTTTTACCTCAATCCCACCCTTTTTTAAAATTAATCTATTTTTTTTTACATTTTTTTCAATTAAGGGAAAACTAAATTAAAAAATAGCGGGATATATTATAGTAACTTTTTGTTTTCCTATTAACCTGTTATGATCCCCAGTATTGCTCTCCCCATCTTGTTCTGTCAGATTTTACTATATTCTATTTTGTTTGATAGTATCAAGTTTGAGGGTATAGGCAACCACTTTGAAGGCAATAAGATTCACTAAGATGCCCATTATGGTTTGACTATTAATCTTCTTTTGAAATCCTGTAAGGTCTCCAGTGTAGGTTTTATTGGTCTTGTTCTGTACTGTTTTGATCAATTCTATTATACCTGACGATATAGGCAACTTAAAAAAAAATGTCTGGGTTTTTGAACCAGGAGATTGATTGTGTTGCTCAACTGATTGATCTACCAGTTGTCAAACTAGAGCTTCTGGTTGAGAACAGATCTGAGGGAATAAAAGATGCCTCCCATAAAGATGTATTCTTCATTCAAGATATCACAAGCTAACAGCCCAGGTAGATTATCAAGATTAAGGGAAAATATTTTCTAAGATAAATGGGTACTGGTGCAGATGTTTCAGTGATGGCTTCATCTCAGCAGTCATCTGGCTGACCCATCCGAGCGGTAGCCACCTCCTTGATGGGGCTTGGGTCACTCAGGCAGGTCATGCCCTGAGTAGCTTTAAAGGGGTCTTTCAGCCATTTATTGCAGAGATCTCAGTCAATTTGTGGGTCAGGGGTCTACAGAAAGAATGGTGGATTCAAATTACTAATGAGGCAATCCACATGTTAATAGAAAGATGAAAAACATGAGAGACATTCCAGGACAAGAACAGGGAAAACATTCAACAAGACAATCTAGACCCATAGAAGTCTATTAGGAATGAAAGGCAAGATCCTGGCTGTGAGACAAAATTTTAATGGGGTCACTCTGGCTTCTTCCCGCCCAAAGACTGCACTCTCGTTACAATGGAAAACTGATGTTCCTGTTTGGGTGGAATGATGACCCTACCAAAGGAGCTCATTTGCTTACTAGCATTAATAGAAGAGTTGAAGATGAGACATAGTAAGCCTTCCAGTAGCCCTTGGGATACTCCTGTTTTTGTTATACCAAAGAAACCAGGAAAGTGGAAGCTACTTCAGGATTTAAGAGCTATTGCATGTGTTTACCTTATGGGCATTCTGGGCAGCATAGATCTCCCTCTCCCACTTCAGTTTCATAGGACTGGCCTATGATACTTATTGATCTTAAGGATCGCTTTGTTACCATCCCCTTAAATCTGCAGGACTGACCTCATTTTGCTTTTTCTGTTCTTGCAACTACCTTGTCAAGTCTATGCACTGAAATCAATCATTTTGCCACAGTGGATAATGAACAGTCCCACCCTCTGTCAGTACTTTGTTGGTGAGGCTTAGGATTCTGTTACAGGAAGGTTCCTTGAAGCCTAAATTCTACACTGTAGGGATACTGTATTGCTTGCTGCTGATTCTTTTTTTGTTGTTTTTGTTTTTGTTTTTGTTTTTTTGTACCAGAGATAGAACTCACGGCCTTGCACTTGTCAGACAGGCACTTACACCACTGAGCTAAACCCCCTGCCCTTGCTCTTGATTCTTGACAACCTTCTTTTTGCAGAAGCTAGATGATACAACATGGGTTATTTATATTCACAGAGAAAATTCAAACTCTCTCCCCCTATAATTACTTGGGAATTCTGGTAACAGAATAAGAGGTTTGAATCCAGAAGTTAACATTAAGAAGGGACTCATTATAAACATTAAATGATTTCCAAAAATTATTAGGAGACATCAGCTAGATTCACCCAAAACTAGGAATACCTACATATCAATTATATGATCTATATAAAACATTATAAAGTCAAAATTGAATTCTCTGTTTTCTTATACCTGAAGCCCTTAAAGAGCTCCAGGTGATAGAAACCACTTTGGCAAATAGACAAGTTATTCTAACTATGTCTCTTATGCTGATTGTGTTTTCCATTCCCCACTCTCCCACTGGATTTCTTGGTCAAATAGGGTACAATAAGTGCCAACATATTGGGTGGCATTGTCTCTCTAATCAGCTTACAAAAAGTTTTCAGACTTCTACAGATCAAATGGCTGGGCTGATTTGGCGAGCCTGCCACCGCAGGATGTAACTTTTAGGATTTGATTGCAATCATATGGTGCTGCCTGTTAATGTTGCACAGCATAGTCATTTATTACAAACGTCCTTGGTCTGGCAGATAGCCTTTACAGACAATATAGGATTATTGATACTCATTATCCTTCTAGTAAGTTTGTACAGCTGTGTTGCAATTATTTGTTAATCTTACCTAGAAATACTCAGAAAATTTCTTGTATGAATGCCTCAACTTAGCCCAGTATGGTGGTACATGCTAGTAATACCAGCTCTTGGGAGGCTGAGAAGTAAGGATCACTGAATTTGAGGCCCACCTCGGTTACAAACTGAGTTTGTGACCAGCCTGAATTGCATAGTGAGATCCTTTCTCAAAAAGACAATGAACAAACAAATACCTTAGCTCGCTTTATGGATGGCTCTTCTCATAGTTTTGCTGCTCACTGGACTATGTAAAATTACCAGAAAACTGCCATTCCTGGAATTTTGGTGAAGGACCAGAATTAGTTGCTGTGATTACCATATTGATATGTACTGTGGCAGAATCTGTTACTATTTTATGTGATTTCACCTATGTAGTTAATGTCACTAATTGCTTGGAGATAGCCAGTATAAAAAGCAAATAGAGTCCCCCTCTGTTCAACCTATTCTTATGATTACAGAAAGCCATTTGGGTCTTGTATACTCACATTCTGGTGTTTCTGGACCACTAGCAGAAGGAAATTATCATGCAGATAGACTCACCTCAACTTTTCAGCAGATGGTACTTTCCCATTCTTATTTCCATCAGATCATTCAAGCCCTTACCTCTGGCTTCAAACTTTCCAGATCACAGACACATCACACTGTAAAATCTTGTCCAGCATGACAAGCTTTGCCTACATGAATTCTATCAGAGGACTGCGGTCCTTGAGGTCTTCGCTTGGTAAGCTGTGGCACACAGATGTGGCACATAGGTCCAATTTGGCAAACTTCAGTATGTGCATGTTAGTATAGATACTTATTCTCATTGTGTATATTCTACCTGCCATGCAGGAGAGACTGCAAGGCATATCCAGGAATATTGTCTCTTGGCATTTGCAAAAACAGCAGTCCGTAAGAAAACAAAAACAGAAAATTATCCTGTCTATATAAGCAAAAGCTTTCAAAAATTTTTACAACAGTGGAACGTCAATCATTCTAATGGAATTCTTTGTAATCCACAAGGACATGCAATTTTGGGGCATGCACATTTTACATGAAAATAGCAATTACAAAAACAAAAAGGGGAAATAAGTCTTAATAAGTCACAATCTCTCCTTCATCTCATAATGTTTATGCTTAATTGTTTGAATCCTGTTGGTGGCACAGATTGCACTCCAGCAGAATTACATTAGTCAGAAGCACAAGAGCATGGGAAAAAGGAGAAAGCACAAGTGTTATGGTGGTCCCTAGAGATGGGGAAATGGAAGGGGGACAAATTACCCTGTTGGCACGGAGGTTTGGTTGTATCACTGCAGGAAATAGACAGATGGCATGGGTGCCCTCTAGGAGTGTGGGACCATGGAGGAAGCTGCCCCTTGACCTGCCCATGGTGGAACTTAACTCTTCTACTCTCCTCATCAGTGAGAGCCTTCTCCCAGGTGACAATTGAGGAAAACTACCAGGGAGACAGAAAATGTTATCCATCAGGGCCTTTCCAGAACACCTATCATAGCATGTAAAGATTGATTGGATTCATGATAATTTGTCTTATTGTTTGCTGATAGTCTGCAGACCATCTTGGGAGAGGAACCCAACAATAGAGGAAACAGGTGGGAGACCAGATAATGAGGATCAAGACCTAACAGACTGTCTCTGTGAGCACAGAGGGGACAAGCAGCAGTTGCACGGCTTTGGCAGCTCGCAGGCAGCTGGCACACTGCAGGTCCAGGGAAGAGGCAACACTGCTGAGATCCAGCTGCTTACCTGGGTGATATACTATAGATAAGGGAGGCAGATGAATCTTCTGCTACCCCAATTGTTTGATCCTGTGTCTAAGTAAATAAAAGAGGAGAGCAGATGCTCAAGGCTCTTTTGTTCACAAAAAGCAAAGAATCCCCTGACCACACATTCCAGATTAATTTTGTGCCTTTTTGCCCTTGTTTGCTCTCCTCACCCTAATTGGGGATAAACTTGTAGTCTAGTTCCTACACAGGAAGAACTGGCAAATTATATATGCTGAAACTATAAAGTTCCTCCCTACCTCAAACAAATGCACAATAACACCCGTATCATTAAAAGTAGAAAACAAAACTTTATTTGATGAAAACTTTTTTAAAAGTTCCAGTATGAAGTAACAAAATCAACCACCTACAAATCTCTTTCAGTCACTTGCATTTCAAGCAAAATAGTCTCTTCAGAAAAATGACCATTTCATAATATATATCCCTTTCTGTAGGCTACACATGAGTAGACAGATGGATATAAAATTCAAGAGAAAAAAAGGAACACATTTTAAAAATAAAAATCTGAATCCTCTCTTCGAGGTGTATTGCAATATGGTTACCAACATTTTCAGCACCCTGTATTTAACAAGTTACTGATTTGAGTCCTAGAACAAAGCCCTGAAATGAAAGAACAAGAGATCCAAGTTTTTGTGCATCACAGGTCGGCATCAGAAAAACTGACAGCAGCTAGAGAGGAGCTCAAGTATACGAAATCCACACTTCTGAAATCGTTAACACTCACTTCAAACAGCTAATTATCTATATGATTCAAAAAAGGAAACTGCTCAGCATTTAGAACACAGACAGTTGTCCTCTGAGTGCCCTGGGCATTCCTAATACATCTGCAATGTAGTTGTTAGCACAGGGCTGTGTTTAAGGGACCGTTCAGAAGACCTGGCAGCACAGGATTACTATGAGTATGGAAAACTTGTTCTCTGACTCTATTCCTATCTACACTTACACAAGTCTTTCAAAACCTATGATCTTTGTCAATATTCACTCCTAACATGCCAAATATAGAAAGTCAAGAATATCTGAGCCAACGCTGTTACCCATTTGACCCATAGAAAAGATCAATCCTTTGAGTCTTGTCCCTTTTGCCTCTTTATTGAGAATCCTGAGACAGTCAGGAAATAGATGAGGCAAGTAAGATATTATAAATGAAAGAACTACTAGACTCACAAAATAATTTAAAATGAGCTTTAACTATAAGCAAAAACTAGAAATCAACAGCCCCATTTTTTTTAAGGGCAAACAACGCTTCACATCTTGATCTTAGGACTACAACAATCCGTACCAAATGTCTAGGAATCATGTCATGAGAAATCACTTCATGCGTAAGTAGTTTAAATGTAAATGCTGTTAAGTGAATTTGTATTTTTGTTTAGCAGCAGCTGTAATTTTATCTGATTTGATGAAACTTTGTCTCCGGATTGCTTATATACTCTCCATTTAAAAGGACAATCAATGATCTGTGCTTATCTGCTGATATGTCTGAAATCCTCCATCATAATCATATATAAGGCTATTTACTAGAGAACTACAGGGCTATGCTTTTTACCACAAAATCCATTCCTATTAATGTAGGCTCAATTAAATCTTCTACTGTCATAACGTAGTCCTGTACAAATCACTGCATGGATAACACCAGTTGTCAGCACCAGCAAGTTCAGTCATTCCCATCATAATCACTGTAGCCCTGGTAGCCACTGTTCCTTCTCTCATGGATACTAGACATTTTCTTCCAAGTGGAGTCCTGATGGAAACTTGCACTGAAGGACCGGCCCAGACGCCCATGCTGCTTCTTGGAGATATTGTCTTCACTCTCAGATTTGGCAATTCCTTGTGCATGTGTTAGAGGTTGGGATTCTTGTCTAATGGTTCCAAATGGAAAGTTCCAAAGGCCAAATCTTTGCCAACTGAGTCTCTGGAATGCGATAATGCAATGCAAATTCCCCCCAACCTAAAAAGAAAACAAGAGTTAAGAAAAAATTTTTTAAAAAATGTATATAAATTTGTGGGCCTTCGTGGATTCCTATTATAGTTTAGATTTACAATATCCCCCCAAAATCTTACTGTGTTCAAAGTTGGGGCTTTCAAGAGGTGACTGGGTCATGAGGAGTCTACCCTCATCAGTAGTTTAATTTATTGATAAAATCACCATGTGAGGGTAAGATGGGGAGATGATGGAAACTTACGTGGCAGAGTCTAATCAATGGGAGTGAAATCCCGGGGTCAGGACCTTGAAGACTATGTGTTGTCCCTAGCCCTACTTCTTGGACTTTCTTCCTTTCTGCTTCCTGACTGCCATGAGGTGAGCAGCCTTCTTCTGTCATGCCCGTCTGCCATGATGTTCTGCCACCATGACACTTTGCCTTCCCACAGGCCCACAGCAATGGAGCCAGCTGATCACAGATGGACCCTTGAAACCACGGACCAAAATAGGTATTTGCTCCTTTTATGTTTATTTGTGGCAGATACTTTGCCATACCCATGGAAAGATAACAGAACCCTCCGTTTTAGTGCTTTTTTCTATGCCTGAAAACAGTCTTCTCTGTTCAGACATTATCAGAGCACACTATCCTATGCTCTTTCCTAAAAACTATAAAACATAACAAAAAAGTAACCGATGCCAAAGCACTTCTACCCTCCATCTACGCCTCCCTACAACTGATTTGCAACACACGCTCTCCACTGCATCTGCCTGATGCAAACATCAAGGTCATTCTTCCTCTCTTCTTCTCACATTCTTACATTAATACAACTGTATAAATCAGACATCCACTTTGGGCCTAGCACCTATCTACTTTTCTCTGAAAGCCTCTTCCTGCAGCTTTATCTGTATACAGGACCACAGGTAATTTGCTCCCAACTGTATTAAGACAGCTCAGTCTCAGTCTGTTCATCTGAAATGAGGTCGTAAGTTGATGGATCATAATCCTCAGTAAATAACCGGATAAATGAAGAGCTAAAACAACATGTAGCCTCCTTAAGAGTAAGAGGGATGATAGTTACTTGGCTCCTGGTATCATTCCAGTAGTAGGTACCAACCCATTGCAACTCCAGGCTACTTTCCTTCCGCTTGAGTTCTGAATAGCTCTGTGTCCTTCATATAAAATGGTGCTCTTACCTTCTTTGTTTTTCGAAACTGCAGTCCTCTCTCTAAGTGCCGGATATCTAGGTATTCTGGGTTTTGAGTGTTTAGATCAGTAACAATATCTGCCCACCTACAGTCAGAAGAAGATATAGCTCAGTTTTCTTCAGGTTCATAGTACCAATGTAGTGGAACTTTTCACAAGAGAAAGCTGCTACCATATAATGCTGGTAATTAAAGATAATTCTCTTATCTCAGCATTATTCCATCTAATAAGCTTTAAAAACTTCTTTTATGACAATTCTACCCAGCTATTGTCGAGGTCCTCTGCTTACAAACGATCACTTTATCTATAAAATAAATACATGTCCACATATTCGATAAAATCCTGCAGGCTCAAGCAGCATCAAGCCGTATTTTCTTCTTAATTATAATCAAGTAGATATTTGAGATGGGTTCTTGCTGTGCTACCCAGGCTGGCCTTCAACTCCTGGGCCTAATCAATCCTATTGCCTCTACGGTGCAGCTAACTGGAACTGACGACACGCCCCCTGGTGGCTAATGAAATTTGTAAAAGAATTTAAAGGCAACATGTATCTCCATCAATATCCTGATTCTACACAAAGCCAAAACTATTACAAAACAATTATTAGAACTGATGAGTGAATTTGATAAAGATGTAAAGTGTATATAGGAAAGTAAGTTGACTTTTTTTAATACAGCAAGTAGACAATTAAACATTTTAAAAAATCAGTTTTCAGTAGCACTAAACATATAACACACCAGGAAAAATAAAAAGTATGTATGACTCAATATGGAAAAATGTACTGCTAAGAGCAATTAAAATTCTAATCAACTGGAGATACAGTGTATGTGCATAGACAATTCCACACTGTTATAATGTGAGTTCTTCCCAAACTAAACTATGACTATCATTGATTCCATCCTAATGAAAATTTCAACAGGCTTTTTAGCAGATATTGACAAATTTCTGAAATTTTTATGGTAAAGCAAAGTTCCAGATATATTAGTTAAATGAAAATCTAGACACAAAATTTTTTTAATAATTTCATTTACATAGAACTCAAGAACAAGCAAAGCAAATCTATGATGAGAAAAACCAGAATACAGGTTGCCTATGTGGATGGATAGAAATTGAGGACCAAAGTGTTTTGTGCTTTCTGTGGTAAAAAATGCACCACATCTTGACTGGGTCAGGACTGCACAGATACATGTATTTATTGACACTCATCAAACTCTTTGCATTTCACTGCATCAAAGTCTTACATCAATTACAGAAAAAGAGGAAATTAACATACTTTTTACAGTGAATGGCAGGATGTTTCCTACTTGATTCTCCAATTAAGATCCAATATTCTACTTCCTGTGGTGAGAGAGGACCCCTGCTAAGGAGAAAATACATACAGGGTAAAGTTAAAAGTCATTTACTCCCTTAAGCATAATGCTCCAACTATATATTTTACAAAGCTATACTAATACTTAACATTTATTCAAAGATGGCATTTACCAGTCTAGAACAGATGATATCAGAGGTTAAGCTTGGCCAAACTTCTCGAGGCCATTTAAAGAGACCCATAAATTAAAATTAAGCTTTAATTTCTTATTCAAAAGGTGAGGCTAAAAAAAAATTTATATGCCATCAGGAGAAATCAAAATCCTACATGCTACCAGCACTGTTAAACTGCTCTTCTGTTTTTTACTATATATACTCTCAATAATTTTCAGTAGGTTTCCAAAAACTATAACCCTAAGGGAGTAACGCACTGATGAACTTCAGGACATTGATTCCCTTATCCCATCCTCGGAAATCCTACTTCAAATAGGTCAAGAATAGAGCTTCCGAGGCTGGGGATTTAGCTGAGCAGCATAAGCGCCTGCCTGGCAAACTCGAGGTCATGAGTTCGATCCCTGGTACCAAAAAAAAATAGAGCCTTATGATTTGCATAGTTTTTTTTTTTTTTAATCTCAGGTGTTTCTTAGGCATAGACATTATAAGGAACTGTTTAAGGAACAAAAAAGAAATATAATTATGTCTATGTTTGGTCAACACCTGAAATAAGGCTATCTACACCCCAGGATGAGACAATGAAAAGGTCAATAATGATGTACTTCCATGAAGTTCTACCTCCAGAGAAATGGACACAGCACTTCACAGTTCAGAGAGACCAAGTACTTTCCCTCTTCTCCTCGTTCACAAACTATAATATCTAGCTTTTTGGGTTCTCCCAGCTTGCTCCTCCTACCTATCTCAGGATACCTCTCCTCGCCCTCCCAGGGCCTCTGAGTGGGACTGGAAGAACTCATGGCGTCCAGAACCAAAGACTTAATCATATCTGAGCAAGCCACGTTCTCTGGCCAGACTTCAGCCTTCCCTAAATGGGCAATACTGACCACCAACCTGTTCCTTCTTCCTGCTCAGCAATCCCACTGGTCCAAGTGTGACCAAAGCAGAACCTCAGCAGGGTGAGGTGACCCTGCCTGCCAGTAACAAAGTGTTCATGGCTGTTGTTTCCACCAACTCTTAACTGGAACATTTCTCCCTTTTGCTTTTAACCATCCTGGCATTTGCACAAACCATCACCGAAAAAAAAAAAAAAAAAGCTTGCCAAGGAAGAAGAAAGTATTCAAACTGTTTTCCTTTAGGACCGAATCTTTCAAAAAACGTTAAGTCTGCATGTATGTAAGGATACATATTTCATAAAACAGAAACTCTGGGTTAAATAAAAGAAGAAAATATATAACATGAAAGTAATATAGCTCCCAACATTAGGAATAAAAGTTGGCTCCAAGCCTCCTCCAAAACCACGACAAAATGGGAGTCCTGGTAAGTTCCACATTTTCCACCCCAAAAAGGTAAGATACTTTTTACTTATTCAGTAGTGGCAATCTTCTTGACACACTGTTCATATGAGACCCTGAATGAGGACACTGAGATATAGCACATGAAGTCCTTTGCAACTCTTTTATAATAGACACAAAAGGGGTTCTTAAATGGCTTTGTCTTGCATAAGATTATTTGGTAAAGTAAAATGAACAAAATGCAGTTCTGCAAAAGAACAGGCTATTAACATTTAAAAATAGCTTGATGTAAGGAAAGTAGATTATCAAGCTTTCCAGTTTCCAAGAGACTTCAAGCATTTTTAATATTCTCTCTGCAGTACATTTTCCTGGCACAGTACCCACATAAAATACATACATGCTTACCTGAATGCTTTATTAGCTTTAACTGGGGTTGCTTCAAAGCCTATTGGACAAAAATAATGATTCTGGCAATGATAGATATAAGCCAGCGACTCATCTTTCAATCCACGTGTTAACTTTGACAAGGCTCCTGAAGCTTCAAAAGACAAAACCAAACAGACAGAAGGCCCATAAAGTACTAGGTTTCACATGGTGAACAAGTCAAGCACTGGGGGACAGAAATGACATGACTTGGGACACACTGGCACCACGGGGGGAAAACAGGAAGCCATTGATCCATACAAAAAATAGTAATAGATTAGTTTATTCAGCCCCACCCTTTAGACAAATTCATATTAAACAGCAAAAATAGAACTAAATATATCCATGTTTACCAAAATATTCTAATAATATATAAAGCTCTCTATGAAATTTTAATTGCTACATATAAAACCTAGAATCTTGTGTTTATAGCAATGCTCTTGACCTTTTTGGATGTACACATCTGTCATTAAAGCTACTGAAAAGCCTCCCAACATAAGCACTTGTTCATAAGCTGTACTCGTATAAGTCTTTGTGAGAGATACACAAACAGTAAGAACTTTCAGTCAGATCAAAATGTAGACACTGTAACATGCACAGGGCATGTACAACCCGATTTAAAGACCACTGATGCAAATGGATAAGTTTAAACAGCTCTAAACAAGCTTCAAAAATGGCAACTTCTCTCACTAACTCACACTTTCATTCTAAAAACTGTTCCACAGACCAGGAAAGCAGCTCACAAAATGGTAAGAACATTTCTACAGAGTCAGGCTGGAGTGCTACAGTGACCTATTCAAACCAATCCTCCTTGTCCATTTCCCACAACTATAGTAGTTGTCAATTTCAAAAATATTACCATAAGAAACAAGTTTTTACCAGCAATCAGTACTCAAAGCCATTAACTGAGGTTTCATTACCTTGCAATCCTGGAAGAAATTAAATTATTCATTATCAAGTGGCCTATTAAAATAAGAAATCCTAAAAATAGAACTAAATATATCCTAGCTAAAAGCCTGCAAATGACAGTTATAATGATGGACTTTCTGGCCCTGAAACAGCAAAGGACCACTAAGAACAGCTATGGCTGTCAAAGAGACAGGGCCTGCCACACCCAATTTATTTCGCCCATGGTGATAATATTCCTGGCTTAAACTTTTTCTCCAGAGTTTCACCTAGACTTTCTGCATAAATGCTTACTTTGTGGCCTATCACCTGAGCGCTCTGCACAGTTAGATACTTTCTACTAAAATTTATACTTCATAACGATAACTGCTGTCTTTCTGTAGCTTTTGGTTGCATTCCCAACAGCCTGAAAACTCATACCCCTGGACACCTCTAAATGGAATATTTTTTAAGAATTACATTTTTTAAAGGCATCAATATCTTACCCCCACAATTGAACTCAATTGCAGGAGGTCCCAATATAATGAACAAATATAAATGTGGGGTTTAGACTCCTCACAAATGCAATAATTTAAAAAATGCTTATACACATGATTGATATAGAAAATTTCTTGCAAAACTTTTTGTGATCAGGGTCTCACACATGTCTGGCAAGCAGCCACCACTCAAACTTTAATTAAAAGAATTTTGACTATGGCTGGGCAGGTTGGTACACACCTAAAATTCCAGCACTGGGGAAGCTGAGTAAGATTTTGGGGCCAGCCTGCAATTATATAGTAATTTCTAGGCAAACCTGAACTGTATAGTAAGACCCTGTCTCAAAAAACAGAAGAAAACAAAAATTTTCACCATAATTTTTCCATAGAATTTTTTTGTATTTCTCACTTTCTTCCTTTCTTAAATCAAATGTAATTCAAAACTTCTTTAATGTGATCATGAATAATAATTACTTTAGTGTCCTAGAATATTTTCAGAGGCAAATGAGACAAGGTTCACTAATATACACATCAACTGTCTGCTACAAATATCCTTTTGCCACCTCTTTTTCTAGAAGACATTAAGTGCTTTTTTTCGTCTATGGAATAATCTTCCTGGGCTTATTACCATATATTGTGGGTATAACACTGATCCGTAGGATTTATAATAATACATATTTCAATGTATGTAAGCTTAAAATACTCAGAAATTTTTTTCCTTACTTCAAGGTACACTATATAGCATCATTTTGTTGGATTAGATTACAGGTCAGCATACCTATTTTTAAAGGGTTGCAAGGTATTTTAGGCCTATAGGTCAGATGTGATCATGCTTTGACAAAATTTTGTTTACAATTTAGGCTCCCTACCTCATAGCCAGAGGTTTGCTGACCTCTAACTTAAATTGGTAATTTTCAAGCTTGACATGCAGCTCCTTCTGCGGCAAACTTACTCATTCAGGTCCATAAAAAGGACCGAAGCAGAGCTGCTATGGCCTAAAAAGCCAGTGACGAATCCAGGCACCCACTCTCACTCCTGCGGACCCTGAGACATATCCACAGAAGTTGCAGGATCTAACTAAACGCCTTTTGAAAATCGCTGTTTTTCCTACCAGTGGAAACCCAAGCTCTCTTTGTAAAGAGGTTGGATACCATCCTTAGGAGGACTCCTCAAGTTGAGAAGTGCTTGTTAAATGAAAAACTGTCAGGACACTTCCTCCACAGCGTAGCTGTCCTAGTAGGTCTAGGGTGAGGAACCAAGAATTTATGTTTCTAACCAGTTACTGCCTGATGCCAATACTGGTCCACAGACCACATTTGGACAGCCAGTGCTTTACTGTTCGGAGGAAAATTTCATTTAACTCAATTCATGAGCACCTACTTACTATATCAGATACCGTGGGAAAGCAAAAGACAAGCTCCTGCAGGGAAAATGAAACAGACAACTGTACTAGAAGGTGGCACAAAAAGGGTACAGAATTCAAAGGAGAAAGTGCACATTGGGTTTGAGGAGCCGAGAAGGGGGAGCATTCAAGATGGAACTGAATGAAGTGGTAGGATTTCAGCAATCCAGACAGAGGAGAGGCGAGGGGAGAATGCAAAGTCACTGCAGACGGAAGGATAGAGTCGGGGAACAGCATATCACCTAATTCAGGACACAGGGTACAATAGTAGAGAGAAGCCTACCGTAGGGCACCCCCACAATTTCAGGACAAAGTCACAAAAAGATCACCCTCTGAAATAAAAGAGAGTAAAGAGGACATTTAATTCATTGAGATAACCATATGAGAAAGTGATTTTGCTTATGACAGGACATATCAGTGTGTCACTGATGGAAGTTAAATTCCAAATAAAGTTCAGTCTAATCCAGAATATATCTAAAAAATTCAGAAATTTAAGTGATAAGGCAACCACAACCAGATGCAGGGCCAGGATCCACACAGTGGCGTGAAAGAGGAACAAAACCAGCCTGCTGCAGTGTTGGGAGGAGGCTCTAAGGCGGAAAGGCACAAATCTGCACCCCACATTATCTGTGATTAATGTGAAATGAAGAAAACCAGCAGATGAGGGAAACGATACTGATCCCTGTGCCCCTGATACATGCAAAGATGCTCCAGTTCGCTGGCAGCTGCGGTCACGGGGAAGGTGTGTGTTAGTTAGCAGGGGTGAGGCAGGGCTTGGTACTCTCTCCTGAGCGAGAGTAGTAAACTGTAATACCTACTGGAAGGACCAAACATTACATGTCTAAATGTAAGTGCGATCGGCAAGCTAGCCAAATGAATCTGGACTTCCCTGGCACTGTGACTGATGCCTGCATTTTCAAATGATCCAAATGGATAGCCAATGTCATCTTCTAGCATTGACTTTCATTGCAAAAAAACATATCCACTGACTTTCACAGTTAAATTTTGTCAAAATCCCTAGACTTTGTTTTTATTGCATAAGGGAACTGACTTTACTGGAATTGGGTAGACAAGCACCAGGGAATTACTAAGCTATGAAATGTAGCGCCTAGAAAAACTTAAAGGCCCCTGTGGAAAATGGGCTTCAAAGTCTTTTAAAAACAACTTGGGAAGAGAAGATGCATTTTAGAATGTTTTTTGAATCAGCACCACCACCTAATGGTGGTTTTGGCAACTGAATATCCAAGATTCAACTGAAGAAATCCTATCTCTACCACTCTTCCTTCCTTCCACCAGAAGAGGATAGAAAAGATGCTTATTTTCCATGCCTTAGGGAAACAACAGAAAGTCACAGGGTAACATGTGTGAGGTCATGGGTACCACACATGGAATCAAAGGGCTATGTGGTATGGTCCCCAAGGATATGAAGCTGGACATTCACATTAGAATGATAAAAGGTAGAGTGGAATTTATCAGATGCCACTGACAGATTGATATTAAGTGCTATACAAGTTAAGGGCAACCCACATTCCTTGCAGTGGCCAGAAAATGCTTCAAAGTGTTGGGAGCCTTTGAAGCTGGAAACTGACTACACGTGCAGGGCTGTCTCAGGGCCAGGGCGTGGCCATCCCGAAAACAAAGAACACGGGGAACAAGCAAAGAGCATGGGGACAAGCCACCTGAAGAAGTTGCTACAGCACAGAGAAACACCAAGACCCTAGACAATCCAAGCCATGGGCTGCTAGGCAGCAGGGCTGAAATTGACCTGATGCTTCTGAGTATATAAATAAACATGCTACACTGGTTAAGCAGTTCTTTTCTCCCCTTAGGAGAGTAAGGGCTCCACCTGACCCCAGCTTTGTCTCATCTTTATTTTCTCATCCTCTCACAGTCCTTCACCTGAGGAATCTCCAGAGCCACGTGGGTTGTAGCAGCAAAGGTGGAGACCACTGAGAGAGGAGAAGGAGATCACTGAGTTATGGTGTAGTGAGCTGAATAATAACTCTTCAGGAAATACATATAGAGAAATAACTGGAAGAATTCAAGTATTATGAAATTAAAGTGTAACAAATATTAATAAATTTAGACCGAGTGTCTCATTATGTAGCTCACGGTGGCCTCAAACTTGTAGAGCACCCCCACACCTAACCTCCAGTGTGTTGGGATTACAGGTGTTTGCCACCACCCCGGCACAACTAGATATTAAAGTTGGAAAATACATCGCTAACACTTGAGGAAATTTATGGAAATAATCACCATACTTTTGCCAAGCAAGGAAACTAGGGAATGTATTCCGCTCCTTACATGATGGATGTATGCTGGAAGTTCAAA